TTGGAAATATCAGCCTTGGGCACTGGGCCGTTCTTGTTTTAAAAAAAAAAAAAAAAAAAAAAAAAAAAAAAAAAGCAACACACCGGCCATCAGGTAAGTCTCCAACCCCGCGGCTGGCCTCACGCTACTTCCATCGATAGGATGAGCAAAATCGAATGAATCTTCCGCCTCGAACATGGAAATATACATTACTAGACGTGTGTGTGTGTGTGTGTGTGTGTGTGTGTGTGTGTGTGTGTGAGTCCTCACAGCGTCACGTTGCTCGCTATCCACATGGCAAGGACCTCCACCCCCATGCAGTTCCGTCACCGACCCATCACCCAGCTCACACGACCCGTTTGTCCCCTCGCGCGGCCCGTCTGTCTCTGCTCCTAGGAGTCGGTGGTCATCCGAATGTCAAATCCGAAGCTCCAGCCCTCGCTCCGAATCCTCTAGACCCGGCTACGCCGGGAGCGATCATCTATATCCCACACGGTCCAGCGCGACGAATACAGAAACGGCAGTGCATCCTCCGAGGTTGCAGGGGGAGATTCATTCTCATTTTGCACATTCATGAATCATGAACCCCGACACATGTGTTGTCAAAAAACAATAGAAGACCGCGGGGAGGCTTGACGACGGCGACGGGGACTGAGTAGCGCAAACGGCGGAGCGCTGCAGCGGTAGATGACGGAAGGGGCCCACGCCTAAGGCTCGGGCCCTACCGTGAAGGACGCGGGGTGAGCGATGGTGGTTTCTTCCTTGGTGAAATCGAGGATCCGGTGTTTATCGGAATAGAGGAAGAAAGGGGGTATGTACGGAGGTGTCTATGAGATCTGAAGAGCCCGCCAAGAGAAACGGCCCGGATGGACATATGAACAGAAGAAAGCACAAGGATGACTGGGATGGTAACATCCGACGGGACGAATGCAGCACCAGGGGAGCGACAGTTTAGCTCCTTCCTCTTAATCCAGTTGTGCCTATTGATGCCTCAGACTACGCTAAGAGTAGCTAGGGTTTCGTTTCGTAGTAGTCAGTTCTTGCGGAAATTTGCTTTGAATTTAACTTTAGTCTGTTCTCTTCCATTATGGCTTCGACCATCCCTTCCTCGTCTAACACATCCCACATCAACCCTCTCATGGAAGAAGATAAAAAACGAATTGAGGTCTCTTGAGTGTATGTTTTAACGAAGGAATGTTACCCGACTTTTCCCTCCCTGGGCTAGTGGAGACGGGGGAAGACTTCGTGAAGGTGACAGTAAACCAGGATGTGTATCGCATTCAGGCAGAGTGGTTACGGGATTATGCCATTTCAATATTTTTCGATGGCGAAGCAGCGTCCTTACCAATGGACGTGAAGAGTAGGTTAGTGCGGGTATACGAAAATGGGT